CTATAGAATGTAAAGTTTAAATGGGCCTTTCATGTTATATCATTAAATTTAGTAATACTATTTCTCGGGCATTAGGTTTTAACTCTTATAAGAATATACATATTTTTTTCTGTTAATGTACAAATATTTTTCCGATGTGTTTTGGATATTCCTTCTCTAATAAAAAGAGATACCATTTTGTTTTCGTTTGCATAAGAAAGAATACCAAATATTTTTCTTTTTTAAATTTAATTAACCACAATAAAGAAGGAATGTTGCAATTTACGAGCTACATTAAAGACGTCTCTAGAGTAACTGAATCACTGTTCATATGGAAATCGCAGGTATCCGTCTCATACAACAACGCCCCCTATAGTTCGTTGCGATCGCGAATAGCATGGAGATGTTTTAGCTTAGTTCTTTTACTTACCTGCCCATTTTAATTGTGTATGGAAGTAATCTTTCCCATATACATAGGTGCATTGCTTGCATCCGCCATGTTAATTCATAAAAGAATCCCGACTGCTTCATAAAAAAAAGTACGTTACTCAGTGACAGGATAACACTTGAGTTAATTTGAGTGATTTAATTTCCAGATGCATATTTCAAAACTAAAAGTCTAGTAGTCTGGAACATTAGTCCCCTCCTCCTCGGTCCGTGGATCAAATGGTGCCGGGCCGCTCTATTTTATTTACTGTGATGTATTTCTCTCGAAATAGTGCTACTTTCCATAGATGCGAGGTTAGCCGGGATCAGAGAGACGTCACGTATCGAAATAATACCTCGCATGCATTTTATTTCGAAGGCATGCTTAAAAACAATCAAATTAAAATTATAAAATCAATACACAATCTAAAATTTAAACAATCAATTCCCCCCCGTCAGGTGGCCGTAGTAAAATTATCAAACGTTGACCGGTACGCGGCTATAAAAGGTCCTGGAGCACTGGTCTAGAATACGTATTGGTCAAAATTCTGCTAATCAACAATAGTATGTAATTGATTTTTAAAAAAATGTACTTGAAATTTGTAATTGAATGAATAATAAAAATTCTAAAATTCCATCGATCATTTTTGGCGAAGCAAAAAAATAAATAAATACGCCAAACAACACGATTTTCTCGCCAACAATAGAAAACCATGTATTCAATGTATGGTTGTTACTTTTCCATTGTGGGAGAAAAAGTCATATTGTTTGGCGCTTTTCTTTAATTTTACCACAAATGATAGACAGTATCTCACACAAGCATCAAAAATATATTTCATCTTACAGGATTCCAAGAAATCAAGAAAGAAAAGCAGCTTGGGTGAAAAGTATGCGACGCGAAAACATGACGGCCACTGATCACTTATCAATATGTTCAAAACATTTTGCTCCAGATTGTTTTGACAAAAATAAATTTGGTGGAACTTGGCTAAAAAATGATGCTGTGCCAACAATATTTAACTTTCCAGCCAACCTTCAAAACGACAATTCTAAAGAAAGAAAGTCGATCAAAAGAAATTTGGATGAAAGTGATCCACTGCAAGGTAAACTGTCACATTAGATATACTATGTATGAAGGGTGTTCCGTATGGACCACCTAGTATGTATTAATAAAATCCTTATCAGAAATGAAAACAATAAAGTATACACGGCACGAGTTGCACATTCATATTTAAGCGGGGGAAAAAATGGGCTATAAAAATTTGTCAAATCATAGTGCTGAAATCGAATGTGACAAACAACAACACAGAATTGATGACTGATAAAACGATTCTCAGTTTCAATCTCCAACTGTACCTATTTTGATATTTATTACATTCTTCGTTCTTCGTCAGATTTCGATAGTTTTTTTTTTTAATAATATTTTGCAACCCCCAAAATACATACTTTTTATTTTCATTTTTGATCAAACAATCAGGTCAGATTGATCAAACAATCAGGTCAAATTGATCAAACAATCAGATTGATCAAACAATCAGGTCAAACATTGGTGTACCACGGCGTCTGATAGAGTCCGTTTTATAAAGCTTACTGAGAAGACTTTGGCTGGCGGTAGGCTGTAGTATATAAAAAGAAGAAAAACTCATAATACGGACAGTCTTTAACACATTATAATTTTATTGATATTGACAAATTTTATAAACATATTTCTTTTTAAGGTAGTTTAAACTTTTAAGACTTGTATCTAAAAATGGACTTTGAAAATTTTATTTTGGTAATACTTCTCAAAATATATAATGGCAAGTTAATGTTTATTTTTAATAGGCTTAAAAATTGGCTATGTGTGATTGCTCAATATAATTTGTAATACACCACAAATAACTTTTCTTAGGAGAATCTTCTCCAATACTTAAAAAGAGTAGATATATTGGTGATTTCACAGAAGAGGATATGAAATCTCCAAGCAAAGCAAAAGCTTTACTTTCTCTAGCAATCAAGCAGTACTACCAAAAAACAAAAATTATAAGAGATTTGAGACAAAAAGAAAGAAGACTTCAGATGAGATTAGGGAGACTTCAAGGAAAAAGCTTTTGTAACTGTATCTAAATCAGCTGCAGAAGTAAGTTTTAGTTAGATTTTTCCAACAAATACCATTATAAAAACATTCAGACTACAAAAAATTTCAAGTTCATATGAGATTACCGCAATTCATATTATATTACCGTATCGGCTAAATGCGTGTAATACACTTCTAGAAGAAAAAAAAACTTAAGTCCATTTTTAAAAACATTTTACTATTATGGCTAAATGCATTGTAATATGAAGAACAACATTGAAGTCTATTTTAAATAAAATTAATGGATTGTCTAAATGTTTGCAGTAAGAACAACGTTTTTTAAGTTCATTTTAAATTAGAGTTCATTAAATGACTCAATACGTATAATATATTTGTTGGAAAATTAAGTGCGTTTTAAATGAGAGCGAACTCGAATCGATAAATGCGTATAATATGAAGAACAAAATTTTATAGTCCATTTTAAGTAGGAGATTACTAGAATTTCTGAATTACTATAATAAAAACAGCATTTAAGTACAGTTTAAATATAAAGGGAGATAAGAAAGGATAACTATGCATGATATATTTTCTGAAGAACTTGCCAGGCTCAGAAAGAATTATAATTGTCTCCATAAGATATATTGGTTTTAAACAAAGTACTCTTGTCTCTTGACATGAAATAATAATTTAATTTTATATCAGAAGATATTTTATTTTATTTTATCACCGACGTTGAACAGCCGACTTAATTTTGAGTTTTTGGCTACCAATGTTCACTTAATCGATTGTAATTTTGAACACAATCCTAAAGGCAAGGGAACTCCTGGATAACAAGGGCATTTATCATAAGTGTAACAAGATTCCAGTATATCAATATGAGCTGATGATAGTGGTGAAAAAAATTTCGAATTAACGAAATTAAATTTATGTCCAAGATTCCAACAATGCGCCGCAATCGATGATTTTTCCCAATCCTGATGACAGAATACTGATAGGATCTTTAGGAGACTTAAATTTTATTTGTCGTTGTTGTTTCAATGCTACTTGCCAATACCAGCAAGCCTGCTTGGTCAAACCAAGAGAATTTAAGGTAGAGGGTGCGTTTCTTATTTTTCAGTTGCGCCATCTCTGAGCAAGAATATGACTTCAGTCACGCACATGTCATAGCCCGTTTATAGGGCGGACCCATTCATAGCAGACATTCACAGATTGTAATTTTGACTTGAACCAGAGAATGATCAATCTCCAATTCAGTATCCACAGAAGTATAATTTGTTATAGGAACCTGGAGGACTTTGAAACCAGACAGATTTAGCTTGCACCAGTGATCATTTACTACACGTAACTGTTCTACCGTAAAGTGCTCGATTTTGTGCGCAGGACGTCGGGCGATCTAAGCGAGGGAACTATCCCCTATGCAGAGGATCAAAATTGCGATGGCATGTTTTCAGATCGTCCTCATGGATGTCTCTAAGATCGTCGCCATGACGTAAATAAAGTACCTAACTATCTACCTCATACCATGATGATTTTTTTCATTATTTTGATACCTTTCTGTGTTTTGTTTCCTTTTAACTTAATTACTATAGCTTAACTGCTGTTGTTCATAATTCTTCTAATTTATTTCTTGTTCTTATTTTCAGAAGAAAAAAGGAGTGAATAGCTTGACAGATCAGAAGAACGTCGATTCAAATATGTTACCCTCTAGGAATGAAGAAGTTAACACGCCCGATGTTGAAATGCAGTATTCTAAGAGCACGACTACAAGTCTCTTGAGTAGCTCTGACATCGTTGTCAAACAAGAAATCATCGAAACAGAACTAGAATCTAGCATATGCGATGATGCGTCATTTCATTCGTCGATAGCCGATAGTTCTTCCGAAGCACAGTTCGAGGGACAAAGGGCAAACACATCGGATGTGGCACATGCAGAATCTTCAAACTCTAATACAAAAATACTTCCAGCCCATGTTGTTGGAAAAGCATTTACACAAACTCGATGTTTGAGTGCTGTGGAAGTTGAATCTGACGTTTCTACGAATTCTTATGACTTAATTTCTGAAAACAATAGTGGAAATGAATCTATGCTTCCTGGAAATCCATCGAACTTCTCATCTTTGCCACAAAGTAGTTCTAGTCTTGAAAGCTCACGTGATACTGAGTCCATCCAAAGTAAGATTCCGTCTCATTCACGAATGAGGGACAGGTTTGACGTTTTCGGCGAATTCGTCGCTTCAAAATTACGAAATCTAGATTCGAAATCAATTGTCTTCATTCAGACTACTATTGCAGATCTGTTACTTAAAGCTGAATTGGGAATGTTTCAAACAAAGACGAAAATAGGGTACTAGATGACGACATTGAAAAAGCTGCGTTTCTTCTTGATGAACTTGAAAATGTCCATAGTTCATCGAGCAAAACGAATAGTAAACTTAAAATTCCTTCTCAGATGGAAAATCCACATTTGAGCATTTCTGGCCACGAGAGCTCAACGAGAAATGAAATTATTCATCCCAGATCCCCGTCTCATAAAGAAAATCCATCAATCCCACCTGCAGCAAATAATAACGGTTTCGAAAACGCATTAAAAAATGAACCAATCCATCCTACAGTTCTTCTCATATGAAAAACCCTTTGCTCCTGTTGTAAACGTTACTGTTGTTCCTGAAAATTCTTCTAGAAATAGTCTAAATGAAACTAGAAATCCAGTGGCGCCATCTGGATCTCCAATTTTAAATACTGTAAATTCTTGGAATGATACGCCAATCGAAACTAGGCTCCATTTCGTTTGCGATCTAGAGATGATTTTGATGTATACGGGGAGTTTGTTGCTTCAAAATTGCGAAATCTTGACTCAAAATCGTGTGCCTTCGTTCAAACAACCTTTGCAGACCTCCTATTTAAAGCTGAGTTGGAGAGATTTATAAGCGAACGCAAACTAAGTTCTTTTGCTCATAAAACGAACCATTTTCTTCTGAATTCGCCTTTTTGTAACTTTCTGAAAAATGATGTATATAATTTATCCAGCCATGAAGCTCAGTCCTGATTTAACTTTGTGCCCTCATATTTATGTACACAGTAAGTTCCATTAGAAATTATATTTTATTTGCTATTTGTTCAAAAGCAACTCGTGATTATGTATGCCAAATTCCACGTTATTCATTGTATAATTTCACAATATCTTATATTGCCTCTTTTATAAGTTTGCTCATCATTGTATTCATGTCTAATTTTTAGTTGTAAAATATCGAGGCTATGATTTATTTTGTATATAAGTGTATAAAATACTTTTGAAATGTTCCAAGTGTTCGTGATGATTTTCTTATTTTTGTTTTAAGGCTTTTTTTTAAATTTTATTTTCTCTCGAATTGCTTATGAAGCCGCATTCTTCCCTAATAAACTAACTGACAGAGTTTAGGAGATGTGGACGAAAATTTTAATTATGCTCTTAATCAACGTTACTTAACAAATAAACTCGAATTTCGAAACATACAAGATCGGCATCGAATTAGAAAGGAGAAAAATAAGGCTGACGTCATTCCAGAATTTTTAATTTATTTCTTTAAGACAAAATAATATTAATAAAATCTGCATAATTCTGAAATCAGCATTTTTGATAGTGAAAATTTATCTGTCTTTAGAGTCTTGCTAAGAATCTTTGTTTTTGTGGAGCATCCAAAGTTTTAAACTTTGTTTCTTTGGCATCATCGAAAGTGTCAGACTATGAATTTCGATGAACAAGGTTCGAGTAAGAGTCAGAGATCACGAGTTCGAAAAACCTCTGAAGGAGGGAGTTCAAACATTTAAAAATAGTTTAAAGACAGAATTTGCATAGTATTAATTTTGAGTGTGTAAGTACCCTCATTATGCAACTGTTATTATGTATATATGTATATATATATATATATNTATTAATAAAATCTGAATAAATATTAATAAAATCTGTATAATTCCGAAATCAACATTTTTGATAGTGAAAATTTATCTGTTTTTAGAGTCTTTCTAAAAATCCTTGTTTTTGTGGAGCATCCAAAGTTTTAAACTTTGTTTCTTTGGCATCATCGAAAGTTTTCGTCAATGTTATCAACAATCAAAATAAATTTTAAAATTTTTCAGCAAAAATAAATTTGCAGTGTTAGGTTGCCCGTCTAACCGCAAGATTTTAATGGTTTTCATTTCGATATTTCTACTAATCGGAAAAAAAAAAAGAAATTTTATTCGAATTTATACTTTTTTTTAAAGGGTATAGTTCCTACGAATGATAATTATGGGGGGTTCGATGGGACCCTACCATGAGCTACCGGGAATGAAGTTCCATCAGGGAATGACGTCACGTTCTTGAACTGTTTCTTGTCAAGAAACTCAACCGGTTTTCTTTCCAGCCGGACAATAGGGCTTGCCCTTTTGCCCCTACTATACTCCTTTAGGCCGTTTCTTCCCTGAAACGGATAGAGGGACAATCTTAACAATGTGTCCAATCCATCTTCGTGTTAAATGAAAAATCAGGCGGTCATGAGTTTTAGAAGTAGGGAGCATTTGGCTGGGGAAGAAAACTTCAAATTATAGAGTTCCTTTAAAAATCTCTTATAACTGTTGAAAATTTTAACCGCCAGCTGTTAGGAACGGTGTTCTGTAAAATGGAGGCTAGAATAACTTACCTCAAGTCAAAATTTGGTAAAAAAATTCTCCAACACAATAAATATCTTTATTACTTCCATGCTAAATTAGCGGGCAATAGGCAAGCGTGGTGCTGTATTGATAAACATAAAGGCTGTAAAGCTAGAATTTACATCATTAATGGAGAATATCAAGGTTTTTGTAATAATCATAGTCACCCACAAGATGAAGGGCGAATACTAAGGCTCTCTTTTGTCAATGAATTGAAAAGAAAAGTGGTAGAAAATCCAGAGCTATCTGTGCAACAACTTTACAAGTAAGTTTATTTTTCATACTTCTAATAGTTTTATCACTTGCAAGTTATTACCCATTTACAAAATGGGTGTTGTTTTGTGTTTGATGGCGTGCGCACCTTATTTGGACATCATCACACTTTTCACGAATAATAGTAAACAGTGCGCATGCGTCGTCATTGCATACGTTGCTATGGCGACCGCTGCTGTTCGATAATTTTTTTAGAATTCTTTTATTTGCATTGCTTTTGTTTACTTTTTGATATTAATGTATTTTATAGAATAACTAGGTATAGCATAAATAGTGATATTAGATATAGATATAGTATAAATAATGATTGATAGTCAGGTGCGCTTTGCATCCATTTAATTAAAATAAAATATGTTTTTTTAATATATATATACATATATGTTACTGTTAAAGTGTATGATTTATTTATTTTATAGAATAACTAGGCATTTCATAGTGGCGTACATAGACTTAGGTGCGCCCCTCTTCAAGATTTAAAAATGCACCCTATTTTAGACTTAATTCAAATGTTATAAATTATAATATGTAACATAAATGTTATAAATTATAAGTTAACAAAGCGGCGTGCTATTTGGCGCAATACCGTTGTCTGCTTGGCGCCGGAATAATGACAAATAGCGCCTATCAGTATCAAAAAATCTTACTTCTAAGAGGGTTGTTTCTTTCGCACCGTGGTGTCTTTTTGAAGGTGTTTCATGGAAAATAAAGAACAGCAGCAGAAAAACCTAAAAAACAGCAGCAGAAATCTTACATAAGTAAAAATGAGAAGAAAATATTATTGAACATTTATAAAACAGAAGTGCATTCAAAACCAGTTGTTCCAATCATTGATGTGGCTGACCATGCGGCTTCTGCATCGAGAGTTGGTACAACTTCTGCTTTCAGAATTAAGAATTATTAAAGAATATAAAAGGGATGGTATATTACATTCACCGAAGATGGCTAAATCTCGTAAAACTTTTTTGGAGGACATTGACGTATTCGACAAAAATGCTGAAGAAGAAAAGTTCATGATTTTTTCCGCCGTAATAAACATAGTTAAACATTCCGACAATAAACATAGTTCTCAAAGCTGTGAACTATGATTCTCATTTACCAAACTTTAAAAGAACGACATTTTATCCCTGTTAAAAAAAAATTAGGCTTCAAACATCAAAAACGAGGACGGACGGAACAGCTCACTCATTGAAAAAGATGAAATTCTTAAAATTTTGTTCTTTTCTGCGTAGATTAATATAATTATTTTTGTTTTCGGTACAGTTGTTAATTAATTACAGAAGTTCAAATGTCATGTAAAATTAAATAATTTTGATACTTCATTCTATTTTCTAAAACCTATTGAGTTCGAGGTTCACAAACTGCTTTTTTTTATAGGTTAAGTGGGTATATTTTTCTTCTCAAAAGATTTTGTGAGACATAAAAAAAATCCAAGTTTCTTTTAGTGTAATTATTTTCGTAACACTTCCCTTAGAAAAATAAAGATAACAGTTTAAAAATACAAATAAATGCAGCTCCTTCAAATATATTTTTAAATCAATCAATGAAACATAAAACAATTTTAAATATAGTTTAACTTTCAATAAATTTAAAAAAAAATTTAATTATGAAAATAAAGAGTATTTTTTTAACATATTCTTTCAATTCTATACGACTTTTACGATGGAATTATAGAAGTTATGTTTTGCATAGATATTTATGCAAAATAAATTAAAACTAATTTAATTTAAACTTTAAAAAAAGAAGAAAAAAAACGTTAAAACTATTCTTCAAAAAAATAGTGCGTGGAGTCCCTCCGCGCGGAAGAAGTTAAACTTCACAACCTGCGACGTTGATTGTAGAAGAATCAGCAGTCGTAGAAGGATCACTAGTTCTATTTTGACGACTCTTTTTCCTGCTCCGCTCGCTTCCGTGCTCTGTAATCACGGTAATATTTTTCCCTCGTGGACCTCTTGAACCAGTGGAAGTGCTTGTGGTTGCCTGTTCGTCTNAGTTATGTTTTGCATAGATATTTATGCAAAATAAATTAAAACTAATTTAATTTAAACTTTAAAAAAAAGAATTAAAAAAACGTTAAAACTATTCTTAAAATAAAATTATGTGTTTACTGAAACTATTAGAAAAGTATTTTCATGTAAAAACTTTAATTTTGTACTTTCTTACCTAATTTTAAGGTATCAAAAACCGAATATCGTTTTTGTTTTTCTATAAAAGCGATAGCTTAGCTTTACTGAAACAATTCGAAGCGTATTTTCATGTAAAAACTTTAATTTTGTACTTTCTTACCTAATTTTAAGGTATCAAAAACCGAATATCGTTTTTGTTTTTCTATAAAAGCGATAGCTTAGCTTTACTGAAACAATTCGAAGCGTATTTTCATGTAAAAACTTTAATTTTGTACTTTCTTACCTAATTTTAAGGTATCAAAAACCGAATATCGTTTTTGTTTTTCTATAAAAGCGATAGCTCTGTCGATTCAAACGAAATCGCCAATTCAGCGAAAAAACCGTTGAAGTGGCAAACGTTGACGATCAAACAGCAACCCTTATATTTACTTCCACTATCAGTTCTCATTGAGCAGACTATTGGTCCAGAAACAATTAAGATCGTATTGAGTGCAATAAATTCCAGCTTTCGATTTCAACTTTCTGTAAAGACGACAAATATTGAAAAAAGAAACCCTTCCTCAAGCTAAGTAAATGTTGCATTATTTTTTATCGGTGTGATTAGTTCAAAAGTACATAATTAGGACTTTTGATTTTAAAAAAAATGATGTTATTGCGTATTAGTTTTTAAAATCAAGAAATTTCTATTGTGTAAATAAAATGCTGAAAACTGAAGACAAATTATGCATCGGAAATAAAATAAATTACGAGATTGGTGCCTTAAATAGAGAGAGCGAATTAGTTGTAAGAAATTCCAGCTTTCAATTTCAACTTTCTGCAAGAACGACGAAAATTGAAGATAAACCTCAAGCTGAGTAAATGTTGCTATATTTTCCATCAACGTGATAATTTCAAAAATGAATTATTAGGATTTTTAGTTAAAAAATGAAGTTAATGTATTTTAGTGGTTATTATTATTATTATTTTTTAAATCATCAACTTTCATTTTAATCTTTTCATTTCATTATCTAAATTTTCTTTAAAATTTGGATTTCAATTTTCTTGTAAAATTTGTTGCAGTTAGAAAGCTTCTTCATTGTGAAAAAAATATTTCGATTGTTAATTTAGTTTTCCGATCAAAAAATTCGTTAATAAAATTTCGATAATTCGCGCAATTGAATGGCTTACGAATAGCGGATAATTCGAGAAAAAAAAAGAAAAAAAAAACGCTTTAAAGATATATGCATCATCAATTTTGTTTTTAATATACTAAATGATAAATTTTAATATCTATTATTAGCAATTTTCTTCACATTTTCTTCTTTTAAATTTTTCTTTATCATTTCTGTATGAAAAAGTCTGTCAACTTAATTCCTTTTTTGGTGTTTATAAGTCAGAAGGCTCAAATAAAACAGGCACAAACAGACTTTTAACTAAGAAGTTCATACACTATTAAAAAAAGAAAGCTCAAAACACCTGAATTAGTTCTTATAAGTGAATACATGATTCTTAGAAACTCTTATTAGTAACAAAACTAACAATAAACAACTGACAATTCTGAAATTAATCAAATGGCCCACAAATTATTCAAATCCCTGCTTCATTCTTTTTTCTTCGGTCATAATGTTGTGTGGGGACCACCCTTATTTGTTAGTTATCTATTTTATAAATGATAGAGTAATGGTGTAAAGAACACCCCCCCCCCCCCCCNNNNGGGGGGGGGGGGGGTTGTTATTTACCATGTTCTTGCTATCTCTGCCCAAAACTTATCTGGTTCTTCAATGGGCATAATCCTCAATCAGTCTTCAACTGTCAAAATCAGAGGGGTGAAGAACTAAGATGAAACCTGGAGAGGGGTGCTAGAAAATTATACCTTATCACTTCTTACTTGCCAATTCTTGCAAATTTATCAAAAATTAAATGAAATAATTCTATATTTATCACTTAAAGTAAATGGTGTTTTAAAAATCATAAATTTCCATGAATTATAACTTGATATTAGTTAATAATTTTAGTTTGTAGTTGTTTAATTAAATTTATGTTACGTCATTAATGTTCAGTTATTAATTATTATTAATTTCTTATAAACATTGTGCAATGATTTTTAAATATAAGTTCTCAAAGGTTTTAATGTTGGTTTACATTTATGTGCATTTAAATTTTTCTTAATTATGATACTCAACTTATACCAGTTGGCATAAGTAAGTGTAGTGTTAGCTCCCTCGTAAATTTTTAAAACTACAGTTTTTTTTACTTTTAAGTTATATTCCTTAAAACCTCTAAAAGCTATTTTTAAATTGAATAAAAATTAATAATTTTAGAAAATCTATTATATATAATTCTCTTACGTGGCTCCCAAATTTTGGCTGCATTTCTTTTCCGCCGGTGGCAACGTTTGCTTTGTTTTGAAAACATCAAAGCATTCTGCCNAGTTGGCATAAGTAAGTTAGCTCCCTCAAAAGTTTTCAAAACTACAGTTTTTTTTACATTTAAGTTATATTCTTTAAAGCCTCTAAAAGCTATTTTCAATTTGAATAAAAATTAATAATTTTAGTAAATGCTTAATAAATTTACCAAAAAATTCTATGCTCAACTTTTTTATGGTATTTTTAAAAACGTTAATGTTTTTTTTTTCATTATTTCGATTATAACTTAATTATGTTAATTTCTTTTTTAATTTTAGTTATTTAATTTAATACACGTACAATATAATTATATTTTTCTTTATTATAGTGATTTTTTATAAACATTTTGTAAAACAATTTCAGAAGAATTTTCAGTTTTTTTAATGTCAAAAGTTTTAATTGCTTTTATATCGCGTCGTTTAAACTTATTTTTGATCACTATAATCTTTATTTATTTATTCGATAATTTACAATTATACTACTGT